TTCATTAATGTTTTAATAAGGTTAAGTGTACCAAGAGACATTACAATGTTGCAGGTGGCCTTTTCAACAAAACAAAGTATGAATAATTGTTCTGAAGGTTGAAACACTTTTTTCAGTAGATTCTGGACATTAGGAGCTTTGATATCTTTTGAGGGGATACCAATGAAGAGAGAAAAAATTAAGTCAATCAAGCATGAACAAAATCAGGGATATTCCCCAAAGGAAAGCTGAGAAATCTGATTAATTGTACAGCAGACTTGAGGAAGTTTTACATAAATATACCAATGTAAAGTTTATAACTTCTGATGGAATAGGTGTTAAAGGGGATAATATTTCTTCAACCATTAACAATTCATATTAAAATGAAGGAAAATAAAATAGTACAGTATAATAATAAAAGAAGGAAGACAGCTTTGGCAGCTATAATTAGATATGACTCAATAGAAATTCAAAAACCAAAGAAATACTGAAAGAACTTGCATTAAAGACAATTTAACATAAAAACTGGATTTTTAGCAAAAGAATAAAGCAGGTGTGAATAAAACCTCTCCCATTTCTGTCAAGAAGCTCATTTAGACCCTATCATTGGTGAACTGACTAACCATGTATCTGAAGTAATAAGAGACTTACAAACACTGTTGGGTATGTGAGTTGATGGACAACTGGAGGGATCAAGGTGATCCTCATTGCATCCATCAGAGAACCTTGTCATCACCACTGAGGAATCCTGGGTATATTAGCTACTTTTCTATTGTTGCAATAAATGTCCAAGGCAACTCATAAAAGAAAGTATTTAATTGGACTTATGGTTTTAGAGTTTTAAAGTCTTGATGCAAAGCATGTCTGACAGTGTCTCCAGGTTCATCTTCTTTGCAGGAAGCCCTGTCCTGGTTATTCATTCAACAAAGAATATTATTGAAGATTTGCAAAAACATTTTTTTTCAAGGACTTTCTCCTTTGGTTATTTCTTGGTAGAGAGAAATGTTTGATCAACAAGGCCTCACAACAGTTTAATGATTACAAACACATGGTAATACCAAGATGGGTTCATAGTTATTTAGTTATCAGTAAAAATTTCATTACCTTTTCTTGTAGAGTTTTACCTGGGACCCAAAGTTTATCAAATGTATTCCTTTTATTTTTTAACTTAAGCTTAAAAATAATATATAACAACTAGTTCAGCAAGAAATGTAGTCTCTTACCCAGTGTTTCACTATAAAATTGATCCCAGAATATAAAGTCATATTGCTGGAGCCCAAATTCATGAAACAGTGACAGCATCATATTTTTCACCCTTTCTGGGAAGGTCATGTAGTCTGGTACTTCACCTATGATAACTGGTACATAGCAGAGTGGAACCGGAAGCTGGCCACAGTTTTTCTCTTTGTTTTATCCCATGCTGAGTCCCACAATGTTTACAAATGGAATCTGAAGCACATCAGTCACCAGTTCCTCACAGTTCCTTATGAGGTCTATAAGCATTACCTTGTTTTGGATCTTGTTATAGATCCTGCAGAGCTCTTCAAAATTTACAGTCTGTTGAATAATTAAATCTTGAAATGCTTTTACTGCTTGCCAAAATGAGAATTTTGGAATGACATTCACAGCAATTTTGACAAAGTCATTTAGCAATTTCTCGGCAGTCTCATTCTCAAATGGCACGAGAATATGCTCAAAGTAGAGTATAGAATGTTTGCTCTGAGCTACGATGATTTGGGGAAATTTCAGGACTGTCACGTCATACCCTTTTGCACAAGCTCCTCAAGAAGAGTCTTTAGGTTCAGCCAGTGACTCATGGCACAGGGCCACACTAGGACTTTTCCAGAGAAATCACAGTTGACACAGCACAGCTGCAGCAGAAAAACTGCCTCAGTCCACTTTTCAGATGCCATGATGTGCGACCCCAAACTGTTCTGAGAAGATTGACTGCCTCCTTAGCTTAGTAACAATTTAGATATTAAATTATTTAAAAATTAACTTCCTAAGTTACTAAAACGGAGAGGTCAAGATGTCTTTCAGATATAGCAACGCATAGAACATTTTTTTCTGAATATTACAATCATTTACATACTTATGAAGAGCTGGATCCTGTTGCTTGCCTGTGTTCAAAATCTGGAACCTGAAGCACCAACAGGAGAGCAACTCAGATGAAAAAACAGTCTTTATTCCCCGTGGAAACCTGGGATCCCCTCTAGAGTCAAGTTTCTTGTCAACCCTAAAATGGTTCCCTTAATCTAGGTATCTTCTTCCCTGCTCCTATAGTTATTAATATCTACAGAGCAAATACAAAAGTTTCTGAAAAACTTGACCCACCTGAAATGAAATCAGCAAACCAATAGTAAATTATATGAGATACTCCTGTGTTCAACATAAAAAGCTTGATTATGACATAGTTGAATTGATCCTAGCTAAAAGTAAATATAAGACTCAAGGTCTTATGCTTCAAAGGTCAAGCTTTGAAGATCTCCCAGAGTAGGGCAGCTTAATTTGGCATTGGGAACAGAAGAGCTACCAAACATGAAAATGTATTTACCTTGTGATACTGATGAAGCTGAAGTGGCAGGAACGACTGACAATCTTCATCCTGGAACTAAAGCAGACACAGATAAGGCTGAAGCACCATTTCATTCCATGAACCCTTGGGACATGTTTTTTCCTGGCAATGGTTTTTGTCGGGAAACTGAGTTTTACACAAACTTGGACTTGAAAGAGAGTGGAGCAGGGCTTCCCACAAGTTACCCCAATGGGAGTGTTGTTTATTAAATTTATTCTTTTGCAGCAGTGTCCTTTTCTGTATTCAAGGCTGTTTTAGAATTATTGGCAACACTTGTTTTCTGAGATTTTGATGCAATTACGACATTCCTCCCTTCCATTTCCTCCCTCCGAACACTCTCATGTGTATCTAGCCCTTGTGAATTGAAGGCCTCTCTATTCACTAATTGAATGCATAGATGCATAATTTGCATGCATAGATGTGTATCTATAAACATACATATTCCCAACATAATCTTTTAATCTGTATAATGTTGTTTTTATGCATGTTTTCAGGACTGTCCATTTGGTACTGGATTACCAATTGGCATGCTCTTTCTGTGGAGGACCACTCTTCTGCTTCCAGATTCTTATAGAATGTACTTCTCCATTGTCTTGTTAGGACACAGTTAAGTTCTACAAAACTTTCTTTTGCTGTTCTCTTGAAACACAGCCATACTATTTGAGATTCTTCATTGTTTTTTATTTATTTTTTTTATTATTAAAAATTTCCATCTCCTCCCATTTCCCTCCCCCTCCCCCCACGCCCCCTCCCCCTCCATCTCCAGTCCAAAGAGCAGTCAAGGGTCCCTGCCCTGTGGGAAGTTCAAGGTCCTCCACACTCCATCCAGGTCTAGGAAGGTGAGCTTCCAAACAGACTAGGCTCCCACAAAGCCAGTCCATGCAGTAGAATCAAAACCCAGTGCCACTGTCCTTGGCTTCTCAGTCATTATTATTCCTTTAAGCTTGTTGTTTGCAATAACTAATTTATCCTCATTATCATTCACCAGTGAGTAAAAGATTTTCTCACTATACCATCTCCTCTTTCCCTCTAGGCCTCCTCTCCTCTCCTCTCCTCTCCTCTCCTCTCCTCTCCTCTCCTCTCCTCTCCTTGTTCACTGCTTCTCATTCCTTTATGGATAGAAAACTTAATAAAGATTAAATGAATGAGTAATTTAAGATTTACATATGAGCCGGGGGCGGGACAGAAGTAGAGGCCATCTGAGTGAATGAACTTCATCAGATGACTCAATACCACTGCAGGTATTCCTCTCAATCCATTGCATCATCGCCCAGCCCCACCAGTTATTCCCTGACTGTCAGAATAAAAGCTGACAAGAAACGTTCCAAGTGCACACACAGTACTTGTTTTTTTAACAGCTTACAACTTGTGCTGTCATTTGAAGTGACTAAGCTAGATCATTTCATTTCTTTCACGGAATCATCTGGACAGGTTGTACTTTTTATTGTTGATGTTGATTTTAAATACAGAAAATATGAAGTTTGTGGTATTTACTAAGTTGTTAAAAATCCAGGGAAGATTAAGTCTATATTGATACAATGCCTAGTTGATAATGTAAATCATTTAAAGTCTTTTAAAATTGCTTGTTACAAAAATATTTTTAGGTATTCTTTGATGTTTAAAGATCTTTAAAAAAAAGTCAGATATTATAGATACCTGAAAAGTACTGATTGCAATTGTTATAAAGGATCTTGAAGCTACTGCTGCTATCTTCTTAGGAAAACTTTGTAAAAAATACAGGAAAAGTCTAGATTTATTGACAGATCATTCATGTGTATTTCATTTGTAGGACACTGTTAATTTTGATAGCATTTTTGATCGTGGAAACTAGCCAATCGAAAATACAGTCTAATAATTAGAGTAATCAATCTTTCTCAGAATCTCTTTTGGGTCATGATTTTGTGGCAGAAATATATATATATATATAAGACAGCTTATACTTTTAGCCACTTTGCTCATATCTAGACTAAAAGAGAACTTGACAAAATCTTCAGCATTCATCACAGAACAGAGAAGGGCAGTAGGCTAAAGTGAAGGTTAGGGGGTAGAAGAGGAAATGGCTGCCACTTTAAACAATTGTTTAAATTAAATTAAATTGTTTAAATTGTTTAATTGCTGTTGTTTCTCCATAACTGGTACCTCTTCTCCTCGTGAAAGAGAGTTGACAATTTCTGACTGAAATACACATTTTAGGGGAAAACACAGACAGTGAGTGAATCTATGTGTTATGGTTCAAGGCAATTTATGAAAACCTGAGAGAAGGAAAGAGAACTTTTGACGTCAGCACTTTAAATGTGAGACCACGTTAATTATGAGGTGACAGCTTGGGGTCGGGCTACCTCCAGTTTGAATGCAAACCAATTCTTAGAAATGTGGCTCAATCCACAAAATACAATTCACCCGAATAAACAAATTAATAAGGTAAGTGTTGACTATTATAGTTCTTCTTAGAAGTGGCCATTTCTTTCTTATAAATATCTATTTTCAGTAAGCCTGGAGACAATTCTGAAAACAAGCTAATGGCTGATTTCTGTTCTGGTAATAGAAATGATATTTCCAAATTGTTATGTCTATATGCCTCTGATTTTAAACAGACTTGAAATTTCAGGGACTGAGATTTTTTTCCCTCTGGTAAGAATAACCATGACTAATAGTATTTTGTGGGTTCATAGCACAATATAAACCATTATCTGAACAACAACAAACAAATGGCAAGGTGTCACTGATGTCTTTCTTCTAGTGTGCCATTTAGAGCTATATTGAAATAACTATTATCTTAGAGATATTCAGAGAATAAATGCCAGGAAGAATATCATTGGTATTCTTAAAGTGAGGGAACAAAGTATTAACTATAAATTTCTCTAGGATCTTTGAATCTTTGAAGTATATTCCTAGAAATTTATAGTGACATTTTAATTGTATTTTAATAAATGAAAACTTCCTGAAGATCTGAGAGTAAACAGTCCCACTGCTCAGCCTTATAGACCAGGTTATGGTAACACACACCTTTAATCCCAGTAGTCACAATTACACACACATTTAATTCCAGCAGTGCTGCCTTTAGTTCCAGCCCTAGTGAGATACATAAAAAGGGAGGATTTAGCTCTCAGACACACAGTCTTATTCTGAGATTCCTGGAGGGAGGATTGCCATTTCAGACTGAGGTTGAGGTAAGAGCCAGTGGCTGGCTGTTTTGCTTTCAGATCTTCAGGTTGAACCCCAATTTAACCCTGAGCTTTTGTAATCATGCTTCAGAAATTGTTAATGGCACATGCCTTCCCTGATTGAACAGTTGTGTTACCATGGTATTTACCTTGACCCACTGAGGTACCTCCTAGCCCACAGTTTAAAATTTGATCAGGGGGTGAATTAAGGCCATTCTGCTGAGGCGTGTCAATTCGGAGTAAATCTCTCATTAAGAAGGTCCATTATTTCTGGGAGTAAGTGGGAAAAATAAAATCAAGATCCATGATGTCAAAGGACTTTTCTATAACCTCAGCATTCCCTTTTTCAGACATTCGTTTTACAGTATCTTTATTTTACTTCCCTTTAAATATGTTTATCAAACATTTGAAATGCTTTCATTCAATGACATATATTCAGGAACAAAGACAGATTTGTGTTAGATACCAGATAGTACCTTCATAAAGCGACAGTCTATCTTTATTATTTAATACAGACAAAATTGAACTCTCTGCTGAAATATGGTTACATTGTAAGACTTCTTAGACTTTTCATTTGATTCGTCAGTGTTGACAAAAATTGAAGATTATTTTCCATTCATCATAGAATCTTACATATATTATATGTTTATCTAACTATAGATATATCCCCTACACTGTGGCATAGTGTTTAAATTATACTCTCCACCACCTTGCATAGTTTTGCCTGTTTATGAAAAAGTTAAATGATCTATACTTTTAGTAGGAGTAGAAAGTACTTAAACTATATGTTTTATATATATATATATAGTTTAAGTATATATAAATATATAATTTTTTCATTTTTATTCAAGATAGATTCTTTTATCATGCAATATATCCCAATTATAATTTCCTCTCCTCACACTAATATGAAGCATGTTTTCACTCAGGTAACAGGTAAGGTGAAGGCATTTATGGCTTTTATATATATAGTTATTTTAAATGTGAAAGCATTTAAAAGTTTAAAAAATCTGTTTTTCCCCAAGAACACCACTTTGAGATGGGGACTTTTAAACCTGAGGATTGTGAAGTCTTCGCTGAGTTCCGTGGAATTCTCATGGATAAGCGTTTCACCAAATATTGGGATGATGTTGAAACATTCCTGGCAAGACCAGATGATCTCATCATTGCTACTTATCCTAAATCTGGTAAGTGTCCTTGCTATGACAGAATGTTGCTTTGGCACATAGAAATTATAAAACTACATCATTATTAAATCATCAGTAATAAAGTGTTTACCTGACTCAAATCATTTTTTATATTAAGGACAACTGTAGCAATTTTGGTGTCAAAATATTAATAAATTTCACATTATCAACTTTATTTCACAATCTCAAGCTCCAAAAAACCCAACCAGTAATCTCATTAGATCACTGATAAGTGGAAATTGTTGATCATGCAATTATCTTATTCAATACAGATGAGTCAATTTGAAATATATGTTGCATAATGAATATTTAAAACTACTGAGTTTTTATTATTGCTATGTATATAGACTACAAACCCTTTCAAAGGAGAACAAAAAACTCTCTTTCAGGCAACCACTGATTTTCATTGCATATACTCACAAATTTTAATTTCACTATATATATATATATATATATATATTCACAAATTACAATTCTTTTTTTCTGAGATTAACTCTACTACTATACATAGTTCTAGAGTCTTAAAATTATAAACTTTAAAATTCAAAGAAGCCCAATCATGTGTTCTCTGTCTTTGTGTTAACATTTGATGCTTAAAAATGAATCACTTGTCTACTTATGAGCATATGATTTTATAATTCCAATAGTTAAGAGAAATGAGAATCGTGAGTTTGAGAAGACCAGTACACACTGACCAGTTCTTTATTATTCGTGGCAGTTTAGATCCATGTTAGTTGAACTTATTTTGGTTAGTGTAAATTTAGATATTCAAGTATATAATGTTTGGGGGATGGAGGGAAGGCTCAGCAGTTAAGAGCACTGGCTGTTCTTCCAGAAGACCCAGGTTCAAATACCAGCACCCACATGGCAGTCTATAACTCTAGTTCCAGGGAATCTGATACGTTCACATCAATGCATACAAACTAAAGTTAAGTAAATTATTTAAAGAATTGCAAACCAAGGGCTGGAGAGATGGCTCAGAGATTAAGAGAACAGGATCCCAAAGGTCCTGAGTTCAATTCCCAGTACCTACATGATGGCTCACAACCATCTGTAATGAGCTCTGGTGCCCTCTTCTGTCATGCAGGAGTATTTGCAGGCAGAATACCGTATACATAATAAATAAATCTTTAAAAAAAGAATGTATTGTTTGAATTTGGATGATATCAAACTTTATTAAAATAATACTGTTATCAGTCTTACAGAGTCATTAGAGATTCAGGTGTGTTTAATTTTTACAGGTACCACGTGGGTTAGTGAAATTGTATACATGATCTATAAAGAAGGTGATGTAGAAAAATGCAAGGAAGATGCAATTTTTAATAGAGTACCTTACCTGGAATGCAGAAATGAAGAGTTAATAAATGGTAATTTTTAAATTAATTTTTGAAATATATGCATAAATTTTAAGATCTATGATAGATATATGACATAGATATAATTATACTGCAATAAAAGCAAGAGAATTTCTAGCATCATAGACAATTAATATTCTGTCACCTCTATAGGTAGTAATCTTATAGAATGGCCTGTGCCTGGAATAGTGAATAATTCTCACTATTATATGTGTTCAGAAGAGTCTTATAATATGTCAGCATTTAGTCCTTAGTTCCCTGACTTGGAAAATATTTTAAATTCTAGGAAACTATTCAGCAAATTTCAAGGAAAGTCAAAACTGTATTCATGAATGTTGGCATACCAATATCTGAAAATATATTATTATTTGGAGGGGGGAGAGGGAGTTTTTTGAGACAGTTTTTTTTTTTGTAGCTTTGGAGCCTGCTTTGGAAGTAGCTCTTGTAGAACAGACTGACCTCAAACTCACAGAGATCTATTTACCTCTGCCCCTCAAGTGCTGGGATTAAAGGCAAGAGCCACCATTGACCAACTAGTGAACAATTATTTACTTCAATTGATGAAACTATTTAATCTTGCTCTGCAATTCATTTAGTTAATACTTTTCTTCACAGTGAAATTGTATTATCTAGAATCTTAAGTAACCTCCTTTAAAAACACTCTTTAAATTTACATGAACATTTTTCAAATTGCCTGTTTTCTCACCTCAGGAGTAAGACAATTAAATGGGAAGAAATCTCCTAGAATAATAAAAACCCACCTGCCACCCCAGCTTCTTCCAGCATCATTTTGGGAGAAGAATTGCAAGGTAACCAGAATTAGATTTTCTTAGACTTGATGTGCTCGGATATCACCTAAGAAGCATCTTAAACATATTGTGATACACTTTTCATTTCACATACAGATTTTTTAACAAATATGAATTATTTTTAGCATAACCCAAGTCCAATTATACCTACTTTTATTTGCTTAAGATGATTCTGCAAAGAAGTTAGATTCTAAACCTTGGTTTGTTCCTGTGTAGAAAAAGGGTCATAGTGTCATTTTCCTAATAGAGATAAATGCAATTATCCTTGATACCACAAGCCTAGTGCCTAACCCACTGTAAGTCCTGGATGAATGTCCTATAGCTACTTTTATATCCTTGTGGAATGAATGTCTCCTTTTCACAAAACAGTGTGTGACATTGTGAGACATTCAAATGAGTCAGAATAGGATATCCAGACAAGTGTCCTGCAATAATCATTTACCCAGTTAATGAAAGGGTGAATGTATCTTCATTTCATTTCCTAATAATATGCTACACACTGGCTAAACTATAAAGGAAAGATATTTATTTGGTTGGTGGTTCTGATCCAGGGTCAAGAGACTGAACTTGGTGATTATCTTCTTGTTGACAAAGTTTCAAGGTAACATATGAGTCAGGGGATGCACATATGTTTATGTCTCTAGTCACTAACTCTTTTCTTTAAAGCAATTAGCCCTCAAAAGTTTGCTACTATGGTGACCATTTCTAACCTTTGACACCTCCCAAATGCTCACCTCTAAATACAAAAGTCATATTATATTCATTCTACAGGTACACAGACTTCATTGTGATCATTGAATTTGAATATGGATTTTGGAGGGTAAGAACCATATTCAAACCTACCAGTTCCTGTAACATGTAGGGTCATATGACACAGATAATCATGGATTCCATAGAAACAGTCACTTGAGTATAGAAATAAACAAACAGACACTACAGGTAATACTTAGATTATATAAGAGAAGATTTCTAATTAAGATGCAGAGTTTAAAAGGCTGAAGAGGGCTGGGCAGTGCTGGTGCATGCCTTCAATCCCAGCTCTCAGGAGACAGAGGCATTTGGATCTCTGTGAGTTTGAGACAAGCATGGTCAACTGAGTGAGTTCCAGGACAGCCAGGGCTACACAGATAAACCCTGTCTTGAAAAAACAAACAAACAAAAAACTAACAAACAAAGAAGGACTGATGATGAACTAGTCTATTCAAACAAAGAAACAATTTCAGGAGCTACCTGTAACCAGTTCAGCTTGTCTGGGAAGTTAAGGGTTCATGCTGGATAAAACAGTGAAAGAAAATTACCTAGGACTTATCATAGGAAAGTTGGATGTCAAGTTAAGAAACATGGATTTTCCTTCCATTATAACAAGACTAGGGTGTTTTAGAGAGAAATTGGCCATGGAGTGAATTTCATGCATCCTGGCTACTGGTGTTTCTTGCTATATTTGACACTGCAAAGATCTCAGGCTACAAACTTCAAAGATTCCAATGCTGTCTTAATTTCATCTGAAATAACACTATGATCACTTCCTCCTGTATGATTTCCTGCAGAAAAGCTCTTTCACAGTTGTGCGATTTCCTGAGATGTCTCATTACTATTTTCTGTAAGAGTATTGACCAAAGCACTTTTCTCCTTGCAAGAAGAGTGGTAGGATTTTACCGCTCCTTTGAGTTTACAGTCAGATTTTATTTCATACTTTCTTATACCCTTTTCAAATACGAGGTCATCAAAGAAATAAGGATAATTGAATGGACTTGCCTTTTAAATATTTTCAGGTTTATTTGTTGATCCGTCAGAGGAGAAGTAGTGGAGAATATTTTGGAAAAGTGTGTTTGGTGCGATGGATCAGAAAGATTAACTGATGGAGTAAAGGAAGTGATTTTTAAAAGAGCAAGATGGCGGCTGAGAGAAGTATCTAAGGACAATGGGTTTGAAGTTGCGGTGTGCGTTGGAGGGAGGTGCATACATTGTAGACCTGGAGGAGACTGCGTGCTTTGTCCCATTTCTTTAGTGGCTAAAGTATCTGAGGACAGTGATGAGGCTTCTGCTGGATGAAGTTTTATAGTGTTAATGCTAGAAACAGCCCCTAACACCACAGCCTCCTGATTTGCTAATCCCCCGATGTTGATACACTGTGTATAGCAAGAATGGAGAGCCAGTGAGTGAAGACAGAGAGGGCAGTTTCCTCTCATCACATTCCTCAGGAGCAATAGTGGTCACTTTTATTACCAAACAGTGGAGGGAAGGATCTCGAGGAGGGCCCAGAAGAAAAAAATACAGATCTTTGAGATGCAGATTAAATACAAATATGTAAACATGATTACTTTTTATAATCAAAAGTAATGAAGCTACAGGGCATATTGCCTTGTTTAATCTTAGGATCCAAATTGTAATACAGTTTAAAAAGCAGAAAACCGTACTTTCAACTGAGAGATCTGTCAACTTGTTTATTTGGATTGATTTATTTTCAGTACTACTATATATTGAATCAATTTAAGTTTCATTATTTTATTCATAAAAATGAGAAAAAACAATCTAGCTGACTCAAATTTTTATTTTTACAAATAAAAAGCAAGAGGAAACCTTGAAGAATGTCAGAAATGGAGCTGTGGCCTCAGGCTATTGAACACATTTCTTAGCAGAATAGGACTAAAGGCTAGCCAGGACACAGAAAACAGCGCCTTAATTTAAAAATGGTATGTTTTTTTCCAAAGAGTGTTTTTGTTTTAATCTTTTTTCAACATAGAATTGATATTATGTTAGTTGTTGCAGACACGAATCTCTAAAACTTGAGGACAACTCGGTTGATAATCAAGGCAGTGATTTCACATTTTATTTCATCCCCTAGATGATCTATATTTGCCGGAATGCCAAGGACGTGGTGGTTTCTTATTATTACTTTTTCCTAATGGTAACAAGTTATCCAAATCCTGAATCCTTTTTGGAATTTGCGGAGAAATTTATGCAAGGACAAGGTAAGAGCACCTCATGTTCTTTGGGTTACTTTCTAGAAAAGTAGGACAAAAGCAAATGCTGCTCTATGTGAGGGAAAAAATAAATGAGCCAATATAAACAGAGATAATATAAGTACATAAAAACAGAACTATAGTATAATATATAAACAGAATAGAATGTAATATATTATAAATAAATGTATAAATATGTGCAACAGATTAATATAAGTTAACAGAAATAGAACATAGTATAAATAAAATAGAATATAAATATAAGATGGTATAAATATATAGATAGGAATATAATATAAATTTAAATACAATATACAGTTATATGTAAACAGAGGTAGAATTTCTGGTTTCTAAGGGATACAATATCACACAAATTCTAAAGGAACTGATCTTAGAGTGGTAGGTAGGAGGCTTCTCTGTTTGGGAGGAGGAAGGAAAATCAGAGACTCTAGGAATTTCATTATAATGCTAAGAAGTAAATGCACTGACACAATTTTGAGGGTTGAGGTGATAATTAACCCTCTATAAGTCTGGCAGTTAGCATGTTCTGTCTCTAACATATATTTTTATTTCTTCCAAATGTTTTAAAACTTGTAATATGGTTGAACAAAAAAAGTGTGAGGCTAAAAAAGCCTGCTCATTCCTTTCCAAGTAAAATGCCAAGGCATTAGGTGAGGATTGATGCCGGTATTTACCAATATTCTGAATACCTATAAAACTCTTATTTCACCAGGTATGTAGTCAGAACATTTTCAGTTGATTTCCCTGACCAATGAAGAGTTACTTGAGTAGATATTATGGGAACATTGCCATTCCATTAAAGTTCTGACTAAAACAACTAAGTATTTATATATGAAGATGAAGGGGCAAAAAAAGGGTTTACACTTCATTAAACAAGCCATAAAAATTGTATAGGAATAATTGAAAAATGTTTATAATCATATGAGTTAATATTGCTCATTGGAACATGTTGTTTGCAGAAAAATGTACACTAAAACACTGTCAATAAAATATATGCCTCAAGATTGTCAAGACTCTATATAAAATACAGAAAATAATAATTGATACACCTTAAAAGGGGGTAAATTAGATTATTATTGACATCATTGTGAACCTTCTCATAAGAAACTTTGATTTTTGGCAGCAAACTACAGAAAATGGGTCAATGAGTCAATGCCAAGTCTAGTGGTGACTCAAACTTTCACAACTGAAATTGCCACTCTTGTAATAATTACTATATTCACTCACTCACTCTCTCTCTCTCTCTCTCTCTCTCTCTCTCTCTCTCTCTCTCTCTCTGTGAGTGTGTGTCTCACAGAAAGAGAGGTGTATACACATAGACCCATAGACCCACATACACAAGCATACAGACACACAAAGCTACACACACTCATACACACACACACACACACACACACACACACACACACTAGTTTAACACATATTCTGATTACTCTAAATTAAGTTGGTGTCTTATTTTTTCTCAGCATCATAATACATATCATTATACTAAAGTTGAAAACATGTTTCTATACATGAAATTATACAATAATTTTTGTATCATTGCTGAGCAGAACTTTATTTAATAAGTTTAACTTAACTATTAGCTCTTATTTCATGAGCATTTTATCTCTTATTAACAGTTTGAATACGTCTATCAAGCTGCAAAATGATGGTGTAGTACCTGTATTTGTTTCTTCTAATTTTAGTTTTGTATGGTTCCTGGTATGATCATGTGAAATCTTGGTGGGAAAAGAGTAAGAATCCATCTATACTATTCATGTTCTATGAAGACATGATAGAGGTAAGAAATAAAAGGCAAATGAACATTCTGGTAGGTTTTAAGATGCTCTAAACATCTAAAAATCCCGTGGATGCAATATTATCATTGGAAATGTAATAGCAACCACTTGCAGAAGTATAAAGGGAAAAATATGATACTCTAGTTTGATTAAGTTTAGTGAACAAATAAATTTTAAATCCAGGTGCCAAAATTTTCTAATGATAATATTTGAAAAAAGAACCTTGAATTAATAAAATTAAGAAATAATATAATAGCATACATGAATAGATAATCACCAAACTTGATAATTTACTGGACACTGTAGTCTGAGAATTTTTACCTTTATATTTGAAATTCATTGTGCATATACCATGTATGAGATTATAATAATTAGTCATATTTGCTTACAACTGTGATTACAGCAATTATAGAACTGAGAGAGGTAGCCATGAGTTCAGGACATGTTTGAGCCTAATATCAAGACTTGCCTCAAGAAGAATAAACATAATTTTATAAAATAACCAGAGGTGTATGTCAGCAGATAAAGTCATTGCTCTACAAGTTTGAGGACTAGAGTTCAGATCCCTGGTACTTATATAAAATCAGGTCAGCATGGAAGCCTGACCCTAATCTTAGAGCTATGAAAAAAGAGGATTCCAGAGTCACACTTGCAGGGTGAACTAACAGAATCAGTGATCTCTGGGTTTAGTGGCACACCCTGTCAGTAAAATAAAGTGAAGAGTGATAGAAGAAGTTTTATGACCACACATTTCTGGCTTTCACACACTCAAATGCAAGTGCGTGTGTGCTCATACACATGCAAACTTGGCTACACAAAACCCACACTCTTGCTTTATATATTAAAGAATAAACAAAAATGAAAATATTAGAATGAACTACAATTAACATTTACAAGTCAGGCCTAACAATTTTTGAAACGTCTCTTGCATCTATTTCTAGATGTAGAATTGTTTAAATTAGTTTGTTTTCCTCATTATTAATTTAATTCCAAAGTGACCAGATATAAAATAGTATTCTCTTTCATTTTTAGGTTAAGACCTATTCACCAATTTTGTCAATATGATTTTCAAATCACGTTGTTTCTCACAGGATATCAGAAGAGAAGTGATAAAATTGATAAAATTCCTGGGGAAAAAACCTTCAGAGGAGCTCATGGACAAAATCATTCAGCATACTTCATTCCAGGAGATGAAGAACAATCCATTCACCAATTATACAACAATGCCAGAGGACATGATGAATACCAAAGTATCACCTTTCATAAGAAAGGGTGAGAAAGTCATGTGACTTTCTGTTAAAAGGTCTAAATTGCCATGACTTAGGCAAAAATCTATTCACGATTATTCACCCTGCATAATCAACATGTATTTTCTTTAAACTCTTTTACCTTCAGTATTCTTATTCAATTATGGATTGTTCAGAGGCATTAGACACTATTAGTATATATATGGTCATATTTTCTAATAATGAATTTCTGGTACTTGCTTATTCCCTTTCAGAAATATATTATATTGAACATAATGGCCCACATCTTAGTCTCAGCATCAGCAAAAATATCATATAGTATACCAGTGTTATTAACTAGGTCTGTGTGTATTAAGTGTATATTATATGCCGTATACATATTATCTATATAGTTTATGATTTCTAACTAGAATTTACTGTTATTTTGAGATAAAAACAAGTTCAGGAAAGTCAGTCATATTTTTCTTGTACAAATGACAGAAAGTTTTGAAAACTAAATGACTAAGGTAGGAATTCAAACATAATTCTATTTACTAATAATATCAAAACACAATGAAAGGAAATTTTATGTACATAGGATCATTACCTGATGCAATATAGTCAACTTGTATGCCTGAAATTAGGGATTTTTATATAGTATCTATATAGCAATGTCATGTAAATAATTGGACATAGAGGTCTAAGTCTGGATTTGAGAGATTTATCAGCACAAAGATAATATTCAATAATGTGAATTATTACATTATTGGTCTCATCATTGTTGGGAAGAGACTGCTTGTTTGTCCTGGCAGCCCAAAACCAAAATAATCACAAAGAAACTGTATTAATTAAATCATTGTTTGGCCCATTAGCTCTAGCTTTCTATTGGCTAACTCATATATTAATTTAACCCATTTCTATTAATCTGTGTATCACCACACGACTGTGTATCAGAACATGCCTTACTGGTTAATGTTCTGGTATCCATCTGCTGCGGGAATACCTTCCGCTGCATCCATCTCTGGTGGGGCTACATGGCTTCTCTCCACTCTGCCCTTCTTTATCCCAGCATTCAGTTTAATTTTCCCTGCCTACTTCTATTCCCTGTGCAGGCCCAAGACATTTTCTTTATTAACCAATGATATTCACAGCATACAGACAGGGAACCCACACCACATCATAGAAGGCTTGATACAAGAGAAAACATCAAAGAAGATGGCTCATTTGATGTAGTTCATTAAGAAAAAATGAGTTAATAGGAATTTCAAAGAAAATGTTTCAAAACAATAAATGCAAATTTGTCATTGTAAATTAAAACACGATAATAATTTTATTGAAAAAACTGTTATTAGGAGAAAATTTCACATTATTTATGAAAGATATATAGGATAGACAAATCTCACGATTTTGACTCAAAGAGTTGACTCTCCCGATTTCCATCTGTTTCCTTACAGGAATTGTAGGAGACTGGAAGAACCACTTCACAGTAGCACTGAAGGAGAGGTTTGATGAGCACTATGAGCAACAGATGAAGGAATGCACCCTGAAGTTTAGAGAAGTGCTCTGAGTCGTTTCCTAATCTTATGTCTGAAACTGGAACATTCTTCAATTTATCCTCCAGTTTCTGCTTGTTTGCCTTTCCATAGAAGCAGTAATCTTTTGAAGGCTGATGACTTAATTTCTTTCTCTCTCTGTTTTAAACTTTCATATCAATTTAAATTCATATCATAGTTTGACAGCAAAAGCACATTTTTCCTATATATAAGATAAGGATTCAGGGGAGGGGGGAGGCAGGGAGGGGAGCAGAGAAAAATGTAGAGCTCAATAAAAATCAATAAAAAAGATAAAGAATCTCCTCTTACAGTGTTCAAAGATTTTTAACAGAAATAATTTGATGTCTCTGTATTTAAAAATTCATATTACAAAACAAGTATTTTCTCAGTGACACAGAGATAAAAAATATGAAAGTGATTTGAAGTTGGCAAGTAGGTAACTTTGTGATTGTGTTTGGAAGTTAAATATATACAAAATTATATGAAGATGTTAAAACAATTCCATGAATTATAAGGTCACTTGAAGGTAACATCTAAAGATGCATAAATGATAAAAAATTAGTTAAACTGAATAAAAGTATTTTCTTATGTTTTGAGCCTTAAGTCAATGCTAATTGAGTATTGAACCATAGATTGCCATCATTGTTGTGTAGAATCATGTACAATTTACACATGATTGCACTTGATGATTGCAGCCTTGACTATTTATTCTTTATCAGTAAAAAGAAAAAGTAAAAAAGTCAGGAGTCAGATATTGGGGTAGGAAGTTGAAGGATCAGAGAAGTAGGTGAGCAGCCACCAGTCACCTCCTGCCTCTTCTTTTCCTTTCTTGAAATGGATTGAGATCCTCTCTCAGCCCTGCCATATTGCTTTTTGTTTCCCATCTCTTTCCAGTCCTCTAAACCTCTATTGCTAATTTTGATTAGCCAGTGGCTAGCTCTGCCCTCTGACTCCAATCAAGCATTTTTTTTTTTTTGGTCAGAACACAATCAAAATATCACACAGCATTTCTCCCTTTTTGTTTAAATAAAAAAGGGAAGATTTTTAACTAACTTAGTAAAACTACATACAATAAGTATAATAACTAAATATAAATATATATGTCCATGTTCATTTGACAAAATCAGAGAAAATACTCCACTTTCTATGCTGTATTGGTGTGTTCAAAATGTTGCACTGAATTTGCTTTCTGTCCTAACTTGTATTACCAACCCAAAACTGTCTTATTAAGTCTCTCAACCTTATATGTTTTACACCTCTTTTGTGAATTTTTTTCTGAATTTAGTAACAAGGAAATCTATAACTATTTAGCCTTTAATTCTATCAGAGACCTGAGAAGGATATACTATTACCTGAGTAAACAGGAAGCACAGAACAAACAACTACCAAAACTAAGAAATGAAGTAAACAACTGACTGACTAGAGAGTTACCAAGGAACCTCTGTAATGTTGTAGCATCCATCTTTTCTCTATAGACCTAGAATATCTGGCAAAACTTTTCTGTGATGCAGAAATTTTGAAGCACTGTCCCACCTTTTCTTGCCAAATTTCAGCAGTCATTTTCCTTTGCATTCTGTTTGTCCAATTTGAACAGCATACTATCAACAGTTGAGGTAAGGGCGGTCTCTTGTCCACGGTCTAACTTTTGCCACAAAGAAAGCAAACTGCATATGAAGTTTCTATGACACCAGCATCTTCTCTGAAGTAGATTGGTGCTGCCATGAGCAGACATGTCTCACTGTCATAAAAACCTTATGCTAATAAAACATCTTAAATGTCATTTTTTGTAGATCTCTAGTTTGTTTAAAGACCACCTGTCTATATAAAATATACCTCAGTTTGACCTTGAAAACATACCTAACACAACTACAAGTTTGATTGTAATAGGTAATTATTAACCTGCATTTCTTTATTATCTTAAATAGTATATAATAATAATTTTAAGGACTAGAAATTTGCATTATACTGCTAAATGAACTGTTTAAGTACAATAACTTAAATAAAAGTAGATATGTATGTACAGTAGGTTCTAACAAAATAACCTTAAATTTGTATCTATATACAAAAATATCATAAACAAGAGTAGAAATATATAAACAGTAAAACAAAAATAATCTCAAAATTGTATTATTATAAAAAATTCATACCAGTATAAAATATTTAAGACTAGTAGTTTCTTTTTAAAAATGTATTTATTTATTAAAAATTTCCACTTCCTCCCCACTTCCCTTTTCCCTCCCCCTCCCCTCCTCCTCCTCCCTCTCCAGTCCTAAGAGTAGACAGGGTTCCCTGCCCCATGGGAAGTCCAAGGTCCTCCCTCCTCCATACAGGTCTAGAAAGCTGAGCATCCAAACAAACCAGGCTCCCACAAAGCCAGTCCATGCAGTAGAATCAAAACCCAGTGCCATTGTCCTTGGCTTCTCAGTCAGCCTTCATTGATAGCCACATTCAGAGAGTCTGGTTGGGGAATGGGATGGGTGGGATGGAGGAAGGGTGGATTTGGGAGCAGGGAAGTAAATGTCTTAATTAAGGGAGCCATTTTAGGGTTGGCAAGAGACTTGACTCTAGAGGGGTTCCCAGGTGTCCAAGGAGAGGTCCCCAGCTTGTTCCAGGAGCAGCAGAGGAAAGGGTGCCTGAACTGGCCTTGTCCTATAGCCACACTGATGAATATCTTGCATATTACCATAGAACCTTCATCTAGTGATGGATGGAGATAGAGAGAGAAACCCACATTGGAACACTGGACTGAGCTCCCAAGGTCCTAATGAGGAGCAGAAGGAGGGAGAACATGAGCAAGGAAGTCAGGACCGCGAAGGGTGCGTTCACTCACTGAGACGGTGGGACTGATCTAATGGGAGCTCACCAAGGCCAGCTGGACTGGAAGTGATGGAGCATGTGATCAAACCGAACTCTCTGAATGTAGTAGTTGCTTTTTGAGTTTAAAAGTAGATTTAGTAATCTATCTTTTTATCCTACCATTTCTATATCATGCTTTTTCTTTTCAGAACATGATCCTTGAGTCTAATTTTCCATTTTTTCTGGGTTTTTCTTTTTTTTTTATGTTTAAACTTCTAATCTTCATTTATTTTTTTTTCTTTTAGTAATTTTATTAAATTATAAAAAGTTTCCATTTACGCCCCTCCTCCCAACGCCCTCCCACTCCCCCCCTCCCTCTCCTCCTCCCTCT